CTTTTGGCCCATTGTCACCCACCTGTTTTCCCTTATTCATACGTATTGTAGAGCGCATGGTATGAGCTTTCACCCATTTCCATGCTTTAGTGCGACCTACAGGCGTTTTTGGAGGTGGCTTATCAGAATTGGGTGGTACGACCTGATCCAAATGATCTAACCTTCGGTTGACCGTTTGGAGAGTGAAGAAAATAAAGAATGAAAGTATGAAAGAACACCAACTCAATTTCTTGTGTGATCTGCCTTTTTATTTAATAAAGAAGACAAAAATAAATAGGTTACAATGGTGAGACAATTCCGAAAAGGAATCTCTCTTAAAGGAAACAAATAAAAATAAATCAAGAAGATTTGACAATTAGGAATTCAATCTTCTTGTAAAAAGAAAAGAATAATTAAGAAATAAAAAACTCCTAAAATAATAAAAACTCCTAAAAAACAAGATACACTAGCTAATACATAACAAGGAAACAAAACAATTAAATAAACACAATCAATGGCTTGGCTTTCAATAGAGAGTATTGTTGAACCTTTCCAGATAATCCATCACAATCGAATCGAGCTGAGAGGTTGAGGGGATGCCTACCGCGGTACCTTAGGAACTGGAGGTACTTTGGGAGAAAGAACATCCTGTACTCAGGAGGTCTCCTCATTATTGGTCCTAGTACGCTCGGTTTTAAGAACATGAGCCATTTGTTCGTAAATAGAACTGGTTGATCAGAAATTTTGAATGAAAAGCAGATATAAAATCTGGCCCTCCTTCTAACGCCAAACTGTTGATGCATAATTTTGACACCAACGACTCGCATGTGCAAAGTGCTAAATTGTTCTTAGAAATTACATGTGATATGATTGATTCAAGAGTCAAGACAAGGTTAATCAATATTATTGAATGCAAACTTGAATAATAAATGAGAGAGATGATTTAAAGTGGTTCGGATGCTTAAAGCGAGTCCCACGTCCACTGTTTCTTTTATATATGAGAGGTTACAACAAGTCGCATATAGTAAACAGCGAGCAAAAGTACAATAACTGATTATTCAGAGAGAATATCAAGTCGGTCTCTTTCTTATAAGTTGTCTTTGCTATGAAAATAGAGATTAAAATCAGAATTAGAATCCTAAAAATAAGAGGGGGAGTCCCCTATTTATAGTAACTGAATTCAATGTAATTATTACAAATCTGCAAGTGGATAAGTATCGTGCAAGTCCTTCCTTGCCTCTTATTGGCTGATAACTTAAGAAATATCCTCAAATTATATGAGGCTTGGACAAATGTGTGGTCTTCATTCACTTATAGACAAAACCTGAATCAGCTGGGTTGATGATAACCGTATTTTTTCTCTCTTAAGGCGACGTGGCAGTTCATAGATGACACAAAGTTTTCCTGAACTCTAATTGGTGTTTACTGATGTAAGCTTATGTCAGCCCAACAATGTCCAAAAAATATGTAGATTATTAATTGAATAATTGTCCAAATTAAAAACTCTAATTTTCGTATATAAAGTAGATAGAAAAGTGAGTAGACTATGCAGATATACAACGGTAACGAGTTAGTATCTTTTATTTTAAATAAATAATTACAAATATTGTTTACTATATAACATAATTGAAGAATATCATAAACAACCTTAACCTTTTCAAACTTGCCATGTAGGCAATAACTTTTGCATTTTCTATCTAATGGATCCTCAAAGTTCAAAAATTTTATAGATATACCATTTTGCCCTAACTCTCTTATATTATCATTAAGTTTATAAAATACTTTCTTTTTTATATGAGACCAAAGTTATCATTTCACTCATCTACCACAAACAGCAACATAACGAATTTAGAACAGAGGATCAATGATATAGTTTTCAAACTATGAAGATTCATTCATAAAAGTGTAGAAATTATCGTCGCAATGATCAATTTGGGAACTTTAACGATAATATACAACGCTCTCCCATAACATAATATAATATTATATCGTCTTAGCGACGATAACCAATTAACCCTTAACAATAAATATTACTAACCCTTAACAATAAATTGTATTTGATATCTAACAAACCCTAGCCCTAAAAATTAATGAAGGGGGTACGTGGAGATATAAAAGAGAAACAAAAATATGATATGTAACATTATGATAATTGAGAAAACGCTAATAAAAGACCTGACAAAACGGTAGATTCATTTCTGGTAAACCATGCATTCTCGTGGATAAAGTGGGGTCTTTCATTCTCCTCNTATGTAGATTATTAATTGAATAATTGTCCAAATTAAAAACTCTAATTTTCGTATATAAAGTAGATAGAAAAGTGAGTAGACTATGCAGATATACAACGGTAACGAGTTAGTATCTTTTATTTTAAATAAATAATTACAAATATTGTTTACTATATAACATAATTGAAGAATATCATAAACAACCTTAACCTTTTCAAACTTGCCATGTAGGCAATAACTTTTGCATTTTCTATCTAATGGATCCTCAAAGTTCAAAAATTTTATAGATATACCATTTTGCCCTAACTCTCTTATATTATCATTAAGTTTATAAAATACTTTCTTTTTTATATGAGACCAAAGTTATCATTTCACTCATCTACCACAAACAGCAACATAACAAATTTAGAACATAGGGTATCAATGATATAGTTTTCAAACTATGAAGATTCATTAATAAGAGTGTAGAAATTATCGTCACAATGATAAATTTGGGAACTTTAACGATAATATACAACGCTCTACCATAACATAATATAATATTATATCGTCTTAGCGACGATAACCAATTAACCCTTAACAATAAATATTACTAACGCTTAACAATAAATTGTATTTGATATCTAACAAACCCTAGCCCTAAAAATTAATGAAGGGGGTACGTGGAGATATAAAAGAGAAACAAAAATATAATATGTAACATTATGATAATTGAGAAAACGCTAATAAAAGACCTGACAAAACGGTAGATTCATTTCTGGTAAACCATGCATTCTCGTGGATAAAGTGGGGTCTTTCATTCTCCTCCAAAAAAATTTTTTTTTTTTATCTATCTCTAATGGTAGATCTTCATCCCCAGATTGGCATACCAACAGGTGCCTCCTCCATACATGAATCAGAAAGGAAAGATTCTACCATCCGTCTTACGCTCCTTAAATTTTATAGATTATTATTCACACGATGGCGACAAAGGAAGAAATCCTCTTCATCTGAATCCACTCCGGATCATAAAAGGATTCAAGACGTAGACACTACAGCTGAACCGTCGGATATTCAATTACCTAGACATTCAAACGCCGTTTCAGAATTACCCAGACATTCACAGGCGGCCGCCCATAAGGTACATATGTATAATATTTATATAATTATATTTCAAAACCCTGAATTTGAATAATGTTTAACCTGTTTATGCATGCATGGCATGAAAAAGAAAGCAAAGGTTACGATGGTATTGATGATTTGAATTTAATTGAATTTGCTGGAGGTTATTGAGGAAAATTCGGATCAGGAGGAAACAATGCATGGAGTCCACAGTTATAGATATAAGGTTGATCATAATCACGACCCTCCAACGAGTCCCGGTTGTTTCTTCAGACACCGTAGCGGCGATCATAGCTTTCATTTTCCTTTATCAAGAAGCAGTAGCAGAAGGAAGGACAACTCACCAACACCATCGCTGGCATCTTCTCTATTTAGGAGCGGGAGTCGGAAGAGCGGTGTGGACGAATCAACTATTAATGGGTTCCCAGCGTCTCTCTCCCGAAATGCCAGTCGGAGGAGCACCACCACCCCCATTATGTTTTCCAACTCGACAGGGTTGGTGAAGCCGCCAACTATTCAGAAGAATCTGGAGTGCACTCTTGAGGAGTTGTGTTTTGGGTGCACCAAGAAGATCAAAATCACAAGAGATGTTATCTCAGATGCCGGGTTTGTTTTTGTTTCTTTATTATTCTTTCTTCTTTCTCTAAATTGTCTGTGATTGCATCAGCAGCTTCAGGATTCTTATTAAATCACAATTTGAAAAATCTGATTATATATGTTATTTTTCTTTTAATCAAGTTAATAGTAAATAAATTAGCTTGACAATCTACAATTATAAACAAAAAGTGGGGAAGAAAGAAAATATTGGTTTGTAGTAACCTCATATATAGTTTGATTATTTGACTATTTTGGCAGGCAAGTAAATCAAGAGGAAGAGTTGCTATCAATAAAAGTGAAGCCAGGATGGAAAAAGGGAACAAAGATAACATTTGAAGGCATGGGAAATGAGGTTCCAGGATCTCTCCCAGCTGACATAACCTTTGTGATTGCAGAGAAACGGCATCATATGTTTAGGAGAGAAGGCGATGATTTGGAATTGGTAGTAGACATACCTCTAGTTAACGCGCTTACCGGTTGCGCCATTCCAATTCCTCTGCTCGGCGGGGAGAAGATGGATTTGAGTATTAATGAAATTGTTCATCCTGGTCAGGAAAAGGTCATTAAAGGACAAGGCATGCCAACGAAAGATGAAAGAACGAGGGGGGATTTGAAATTGCATTTCCTAGTCAACTTTCCAAAAGAACTAACAAATGATCAACGGTCCGATGTTCTTAGTATTTTAGAGGGTAATTGTTGATTGATTTGTCTAGTTCAGTCTTTGATTTATATATAGGAATCAAGGATTATTGTATTTATTGTGTTTTGTTTTCTTGGTGTTTAGCTCATCATGCCCACTACCTATACTCTTGTTATAAAAACATGATTATTAAACATTTATATTTTATAGGTGAAAATCCGATTTATATATACAGAAAAAGATTTACATTTGGTTTTGTACGAATCTAGCTAGCCCAGGGAAAAAACTAATGCTTTGTTGAAGAATGTTTCTATCATTTTGTAAGGCTAAGTGGTTAGCCAACTGTTAGGATATCTAAATAAGGAGGGGCATAAGTGTGGTTGTTTATCAAACAACCTCTGTTTTCTCTCCAAGAATGTTGGTGTCACACCACACATTTCGTTTGAAAAAGAAAATAAATAAACAAATTGCATGAACACACTTCAATTGCACTCACATATTCAAAACAAATCAGTCTCGGTGAAATTAAAACATACAAGTAAAAATGTAATCTGAACCGATTGAGTACATCAAAATACGCAGAGAATTACAGAGAAAGAGAACTTTACACACATTCAGAGATCTTTTTAAGCCTTAGGGAATCCGAGAAGGGCACGAATTATGCCGATTATACTACCAGACATAAGAGCCTTCATCAATCTTAGCTTCCCCTGTGTATATGGTGGATATCTCAAAGCCGCGTCACCAGCAAAACTTCTGTACAGAACTGCCTTCTTATGGCTAAAAGCATCAAAAGAAAATTTCCCATGGTACGATCCCATCCCACTCTCCTGGACTCCCCCAAATGGCAGACTGGATACTGCAAGCTGCAATGCCAAGAACATATAAGATAGATTTAAACATCATCAAAATGTTAAAATTAATTCAGGATAGTAGATGCATATACAATTGGGAACTTATGACATTATTTTCTTTTCTGTAATTCTTATTGCATCATTTCCGAAAAGTGTAAGATTCACGGTTACCAATGCCCTTTGACTTTCTAATGACATTTTCCCAGAGAATTCCGAAATTAAAAACTAAGGTCGCATAAAACCCTGACCAATGTTTCTAAATATCAATCAACCAATGTAACAAACTGCAACACAACACAATGAAGCTCTATCCTCTATTTGTGGTAATACAACTGAAAGAATATCATCATTACTATTTTGTCCACGGCAGCATCTAGTTGTTACATTAACTTAATGATGGAGGATATCATATCTTCTACATGTAACATGCATGAATGTGATAAATGCATGATGCAAGTATGTTTATGCAACTTGTCTCTAAAGTTCGAGGAAGCATAATTACATGTAAAGTAGTGTCATTGACAACCACACCCCCTGCTGAGACCATTGTCACGAATTGCTCCCTGAGCTTCTTGTTGTTGGTAAATACATATGCTGCAAGTGGCTTTGTTCCCGAGTTAATAATATCAAAGCTATCCTCTATTTTGTCAACCTGTTCCAGAAAACAGCATAAGGAATCATAATAGTTGTTGCATTGTTTCTCACTAATAAATGCATATTATTTAAACTAATATTGTTACAATCATATTAAGTGCTCTTTTGCAACTGTTGCCAGATGCAGAGAAAACTCTAGGCAGGTGTAACCATTATTTTTTTTATTTCCCCGTTCAAGTTAAAAATGGTGGCGAGAAAAGGCTCCTGAATTGAGCAGGATTTCTCTGTTTATGAGACAGCAATGTATAGCATGCAGGGAATCCAATGGGATCTCAGTTCATAGCATGCCGCCATTACTCCCATCTCCATCGGCTTGTAGTCATTCATGTCACTCAAGGTACTTGCATTTTGGTAAAAATCATATTTGGCTCATAGCCTTAAAAATGATTCCACCCATATCTAGAATGCTACCTCCTCAGGTTAAACTTTATACTCAGTAAATTTTCCAGAAAGAAATTTCATACTTTATCTGATATTATTCTACAGATAGAAGGAAAGTTGATTATATTCCTTGTGTTCAGTCTGAAGAAAAGCTGATGTAATAGAACTGAAGGGGCTTGGGGCTTGCCTGAGATGAATCTCATATGGCTTGTCAGCTTCATACATTTTTACAGAAGATGCATTTCGTAAAAACACCAGATCATTGAAAAAAAAAAAGGGCACTGCTATATAATAACTCAATGCTTACCGTGAGTATGGGGAGCAAGGGACCAAATATCTCCTCACTCATGATCAGAGAGTCTCGAGGAACATCTAGCAGGATAGTTGGAGCAATCCTTCTGCCATTTACAGAAAGAGTAACTAAATTTAAAACAGGTCCATCCCAGCAGCTGAACCTAATGTAATGAAGTAAAAGAAAGAGTACAGGCAAATGCACAGCAGAACTCACAGGTTAGATTTGTCCCTTTCTCCTCCATGGACTATCTTTCCAGAAACCTTATCATCATCCAACATATTTGACAGGCGAGCAAAGTGGTTGGAGTTCACAATGCGAGACAAGTCTTTTGATTCCATTGGTTTTTTCCCAAAAAAATTCTCCAATTCGCATCTCAGACTATCCACCTGAAGGAAAGAGGCTTCAGAGAAAAACTAAAACAAAAATATAGATGCAGAATCTTGCCAAAGGTATGGGCAACCTTACCAATTTTGGGGCATAATCTTTTGTGGTTACAATATAATCAGGAGAAATGCATGCTTGTCCATTATTACAACCCCACTTGCCCATGATAATCCGCCTAGTTGCAACCTTTGAGATATAGATAGATGTAAGTCATACCAAACACAAAGATGAGAGAAGCAGTGAATTTAGCAGCAAGGAAATGAATATGAAATATAGACCCCAGCTACGAAAAAAATAAATGTTCTGTACTTGTAAATTGATGCCTGAATCAACAACAACTGGAGATTTTCCTCCAAGCTCCAAGACAACTGGTGTAAGGTGCTTTGCAGCAGCAGCCATCACAATTCGTGCAACTCTTCCATTGCCTACCAATTAAAGGATTGTAACATAACATATTACATCCCAGGTAAAGTACGAATCGTGTATTTTGATGTCAATGCAGAAAGAACCAAAAGGTTTCCTCCACCATGATAGAATTAATGAATTCCAAAGAGATCAAGGCATAAAGACTTCCACAAGATTTCTCAAATTAAAATAAAATAAAATAAAATANAAAAAAAAAAGGGCACTGCTATATAATAACTCAATGCTTACCGTGAGTATGGGGAGCAAGGGACCAAATATCTCCTCACTCATGATCAGAGAGTCTCGAGGAACATCTAGCAGGATAGTTGGAGCAATCCTTCTGCCATTTAAGGAAAGAGTAACTAACTTTAAAACAGGTCCATCCCAGCAGCTGAACCTAATGTAATGAAGTAAAAGAAAGAGTACAGGCAAATGCACAGCGGAACTCACAGGTTAGATTTGTCCCTTTCTCCTCCATGGACTATCTTTCCAGCAACCTTATCATCATCCAACATATTTGACAGGCGAGCAAAGTGGTTGGAGTTCACAATGCGAGACAAGTCTTTTGATTCCATTGGTTTTTTCCCAAAAAAATTCTCCAATTCGCATCTCAGACTATCCACCTGAAGGAAAGAGGCTTCAGAGAAAAACTAAAACAAAAATATAGATGCAGAATCTTGCCAAAGGTATGGGCAACCTTACCAATTTTGGGGCATAATCTTTTGTGGTTACAATATAATCAGGAGAAATGCATGCTTGTCCATTATTACAACCCCACTTGCCCATGATAATCCGCCTAGTTGCAACCTTTGAGATATAGATAGATGTAAGTCATACCAAACACAAAGATGAGAGAAGCAGTGAATTTAGCAGCAAGGAAATGAATATGAAATATAGACCCCAGCTACGAAAAAAATAAATGTTCTGTACTTGTAAATTGATGCCTGAATCAACAACAACTGGAGATTTTCCTCCAAGCTCCAAGACAACTGGTGTAAGGTGCTTTGCAGCAGCAGCCATCACAATTCGTGCAACTCTTCCATTGCCTACCAATTAAAGGATTGTAACATAACATATTACATCCCAGGTAAAGTACGAATCGTGTATTTTGATGTCAATGCAGAAAGAACCAAAAGGTTTCCTCCACCATGATAGAATTAATGAATTCCAAAGAGATCAAGGCATAAAGACTTCCACAAGATTTCTCAAATTAAAATAAAATAAAATAAAATAAATAAAGAAGAAGAGCAACTTCAAAGTTGGCAGAGCATCAAGAAACCCTTTTAGCTAAAGCACCCTGTACATTATTTCCAGTAACTTTGACTCTTCTTACAAGTCAAAAGAGGATCTCATGCAATGTTATACACCTCTAAGAAGAAATTCCAAAAACACTATTGCTGCACCAATATCATCACCACACAACAAATAAATTACTGGAAAATAAACCTGGAAAGGCAATCCTAAAAACACTCATGGTCCTTTTTCTGACCCCCCAAAACTATATTAACTTATATCTCTTAAGAAAGATAACCACCAAACATAATTCGTAAGTTCTGCCAAAATACCCTCCAACATAAGGCACCCAGATCATTAAAGAATTTCCTAGGTCAATCCACACTTAAATCATCTGGTGCAATAGAATAAACCTAATTTCTTTAAGAGAATTACACCTAAAGCTTTTTGTAATTGTAGAAGCTTTACCTATCTAAAAATTTAAAACCTTTTTACCCTACCAACATTATCCAGAAATACCTAATTTCTGTATTTAATACTGCCTCAGAGTACAAAAGATATATTCTGAAGGGAAGCTATTCATTCCAAGAAGGGCGCTAGAAAAGTTATCTTTGTGAACTTCACCTGCCAGTGGCATCTTACCCTTCCGTAAATAAACCGAAGTCTAAAAATCACCTCAAGAAAGAGCAACTTGAAAAGGCTACAAAGTCAAATACCTTATAAACATGTGTGGCAATTGCTATGAGAAATCAAATTATCCACCATCGGTTTAGATCTCAAATTTACACATCCCCAGGTTCATTAGTATTAACTACAGTATATCCTGCACCACCTTAAACTATCTCCCACTTCTTAAAATTATAAGTGCTTATGAGAGCCTTCCTATTTCATTGCCCACACAAATACAAGAACATATAATTCACATGCAGTTCAAAGTACCACACACGTGCTTTGAAACAGAAACAAACAGAAGAGTGCTGTACCAGCTTTCAGATCAGAATTCCAATCTGATCAACATCAGAACTTTCAACCCACACCAACTCAAATACTCGATGTGTTAATCCTACATTTGAATGTTCCATTCAGTCCACACTTCATTTTCTTAAGTGAGCCAAGACGTCCTTTTCTCGTGGCTATGTTAAGCGAAGTTTTCAGCTGAAAAATATTTTAACTAGTGCACCTTAAGCCAATAAAAGACCTCTATCTTTCTAGACATAACTACAAGTTCCCAAAAATAAAAAAAATTATGAGATCATGATGAACCATTAGTGACACTAATATCATGCCAAATGAAGTACTAGATGATGATAAATAAGAACCTGTATAAAATATCTTATCCCATTTTTGCTCCAGCAGGGCAGATGTTTCAGCAACAGCCCCCTCAACAACCCTGATGGAAGAGGAATCCATATACTCTCCCACTAATTTTGCAAGCAATGAAGATGAAGCTGGAGCAATTTCAGATGGCTTTAGAATCAGGGCATTACCAGCTGCAATTGCTCCGACAACTGGATCAAGAGACAACACTGTAGAAAATTTGAAGATTGTAGTTGTTATCTTAAAAATGAGAAAACTAAAGACATCAAATCTGAGAGATATATTTGTAGTTCAGGATTAAAATATTTTAGACAAATTCACCAGGAACATACAGAAAGGGTAGTTCCATGCCGAGATAATCAATACAACTCCCAGTGGTTCTGACACTATTTCAGCAGATGAAGGAAAAGTGGTAATTTCAGTTTTAGCCTGCCATGTGAGCAAGATATTGAATTAGACACAATAAGAGAATGTCAAGATTTTTCGTAATACAAGTACCTATTAGTTACGAATTTCTGAATAATTAACCTTCTCTGGTGCCATCCAGCGTTTCAGTTCCTTCAGTGCCAATCGGATTGAGCCCTTCAACATACCTACCTGCATAACAAACCATGTCAATCATCAATATAGAAAATGGAAAATAACTGCTTCATCTCGAACTTTTACATGATAACTTTAAGCTCCAGGAGTGGCCTCCAAAATCAACAAACAACTTTACTACAGAATTAAGAAAGCTCCAGGATTATCCAATGGCATGTGACATAACAATGAAAGGAAATTACAAAGCAAATAAAACTAGTTACATTGTAACAACAACGGCTGGGGATTAGCAATCATGTTAATTTGATATTTCACATGTCTTTAAACCTTGACTTGAATATTTGTAGCAAACTTATCAACGTATAATGAAGTGCACAGAGTTGAATTCATTAAGATGTTATTGATTAAAGTTACAAAAACATCCTCCACTGAGACTTGAAGAAAATATATCCTTTGAACATTTAATCAATTGCATACTATTTTACAACATTTAGCAAAATGTCATGCATCAACGTTTCTATAGCAAATTATTCAATTCAGCGATCTTCTAATTTGTCACAATTACAAACATCCTGATTCCTAACCAACAATACTGTAGCTTCTAAACCTCTTAAACAAAACTTTCTTCTTCCCATCTTCAAATCTGTAATTTGGTCAGCTGCGTACTATCCTAATTTTTTTTTTCCANCCTTCCTATTTCATTGCCCACACAAATACAAGAACATATAATTCACATGCAGTTCAAAGTACCACACACGTGCTTTGAAACAGAAACAAACAGAAGAGTGCTGTACCAGCTTTCAGATCAGAATTCCAATCTGATCAACATCAGAACTTTCAACCCACACCAACTCAAATACTCGATGTGTTAATCCTACATTTGAATGTTCCATTCAGTCCACACTTCATTTTCTTAAGTGAGCCAAGACGTCCTTTTCTCGTGGCTATGTTAAGCGAAGTTTTCAGCTGAAAAATATTTTAACTAGTGCACCTTAAGCCAATAAAAGACCTCTATCTTTCTAGACATAACTACAAGTTCCCAAAAATAAAAAAAATTATGAGATCATGATGAACCATTAGTGACACTAATATCATGCCAAATGAAGTACTAGATGATGATAAATAAGAACCTGTATAAAATATCTTATCCCATTTTTGCTCCAGCAGGGCAGATGTTTCAGCAACAGCCCCCTCAACAACCCTGATGGAAGAGGAATCCATATACTCTCCCACTAATTTTGCAAGCAATGAAGATGAAGCTGGAGCAATTTCAGATGGCTTTAGAATCAGGGCATTACCAGCTGCAATTGCTCCGACAACTGGATCAAGAGACAACACTGTAGAAAATTTGAAGATTGTAGTTGTTATCTTAAAAATGAGAAAACTAAAGACATCAAATCTGAGAGATATATTTGTAGTTCAGGATTAAAATATTTTAGACAAATTCACCAGGAACATACAGAAAGGGTAGTTCCATGCCGAGATAATCAATACAACTCCCAGTGGTTCTGACACTATTTCAGCAGATGAAGGAAAAGTGGTAATTTCAGTTTTAGCCTGCCATGTGAGCAAGATATTGAATTAGACACAATAAGAGAATGTCAAGATTTTTCGTAATACAAGTACCTATTAGTTACGAATTTCTGAATAATTAACCTTCTCTGGTGCCATCCAGCGTTTCAGTTCCTTCAGTGCCAATCGGATTGAGCCCTTCAACATACCTACCTGCATAACAAACCATGTCAATCATCAATATAGAAAATGGAAAATAACTGCTTCATCTCGAACTTTTACATGATAACTTTAAGCTCCAGGAGTGGCCTCCAAAATCAACAAACAACTTTACTACAGAATTAAGAAAGCTCCAGGATTATCCAATGGCATGTGACATAACAATGAAAGGAAATTACAAAGCAAATAAAACTAGTTACATTGTAACAACAACGGCTGGGGATTAGCAATCATGTTAATTTGATATTTCACATGTCTTTAAACCTTGACTTGAATATTTGTAGCAAACTTATCAACGTATAATGAAGTGCACAGAGTTGAATTCATTAAGATGTTATTGATTAAAGTTACAAAAACATCCTCCACTGAGACTTGAAGAAAATATATCCTTTGAACATTTAATCAATTGCATACTATTTTACAACATTTAGCAAAATGTCATGCATCAACGTTTCTATAGCAAATTATTCAATTCAGCGATCTTCTAATTTGTCACAATTACAAACATCCTGATTCCTAACCAACAATACTGTAGCTTCTAAACCTCTTAAACAAAACTTTCTTCTTCCCATCTTCAAATCTGTAATTTGGTCAGCTGCGTACTATCCTAATTTTTTTTTTTTCCAAAGTAGTTAGACATGAATCTTAATTGATTAACCATGATAATTTTAAAATTGAGGGAAATTCATAATTACCCAAAGCCAAATTCTCAATATTTATCGCTGGTCATAAACTAATGGCAGAAAAAATGAAATTCTGATCTATTATTTTTTCATTAAATAGAAGGAGCTATCACCAGCCTCAAAAAAGTGTGATGGAATAAGGAAGATTTATTGCAACAAAAATGTCCACAAATAAAAAATTTAGACATGTTCCTTCAAAAAAAAAAAAAAAAGCTAAAGACTTAGCCGCTACATATCTATTTCAATTTTAAACATCATAGTGCAATCATTTTGAATCAGACCAGGAAAATTGCAGAAACCTGTCAGGGAAAGTTAAGTAGTTGTGCCATTAATGCTCTTGACTTCTACTCATAATATTTTTCACAAAAAGAGACCAAACTAGTACAGTTCACAAGGGATGATTCCTAGCCACCTTCTACTTTATTCGTTATGACATCGATATTAAGTTGTAAAAGCAAACAGAGCACAACAAAGTTAATGACAATAGAATGACCTACAGCAACAAACCAACAAGTGGTTGAGGCTTCTTAATTCCACAACTACACTATCCATTTTCAGTTCTAAGCCCCACAATCCTGCCTCAACCTAATATGTTATGATTTAACCAAACAAAATTATACTAGTTTTGTTTTCATCAACTTTTCGTAAAAACCGAACTAGCAAATTAGTTTCAAGACACCTACACACCTCTAAAAGTATAATTAATTCTCGTCACTAGAAATTGACTATATTCCACTGGAAAACTATTCTCACAAATAATCAATCACCCAGACACTCCCATTCAAACAATTAATATCCTAGTATCAAATTCCAGTATCGATCACTTCATCAGATAACTGTAAGCTATAAATTGCCAATTAACATCAAAATCGCTGAAATTCTTCTTAACACACAATTTAAATGCAAAGAAAAACAAAGTAGTTCAAAATATATACAAACATATACGACCCAACATAGCAGTCATTCTAAAACAGGATCATGTCTAACTACTTTCTACACACATCATTAATATATCAAATAAAGTACATCATGAATACAGAACATAATTCATTAATTGTAGTACTCCAAAAATTCTCCAGAAATGGAAAAGGAAAAACATCACGTTCATCATTAAAAAAAAACAATATTTTCGAAAAACTCTATGTTATATAACGATTAATAAAAAAAAATTGTTATCCGTAAATTGAATTAGTATTAGTATTAATTCGTTCACGATTTAATAAACATAATTGAATTGATGAAAAGGAGCGCGCGTTATGACCTCGTAAAGGGAGGCTTCAAGTTCAGGCTTGGAGATATCATCACGAAGAGCGGCGACAATCTCCGGCTCGTGTTCGTCAAGCATCTTGAACATACTCTTTAACTGAGCCACTCTCCACTCGTAGCTCCGAGTCTTTCCCGCAGAGAAACTTCCTCTCAGCTCATTAACCACCGCACTCGCCGCCGCTGCATTGAACACCTCCTTATTCTTCGTCACCTGTTCACTCCCCATACTTTCACAAACAAACAAGCAAGAACTGAAACAATTCACGGAAACGGATTCGGATCCTGTTTTATGAAGGTAACGCGTAAAGGTGATGATATCAAGATGATTGAGTCAATGACGATAATGGTGTTATGAATTTAAAATAAAATAATGATGGATGATGACATTGGCGAGGTTCAGAGAGAGTTGTCGTGACTAGCGGCGAATCTGTGGTGTCAGCTGCGGGAGTGTGATGCCTTGTAGTTATAGAACAAGGCGCGTGGATTTACGCGATGTTCTGGGAGGTGGTATAGTGTGTCGAGGTAACTTGCTTTTGCTGCTTTTCGGGTAGCTTGTGATGTGACCATCAGAATGTGAATGCTTACGCCTTTCTGGAGAGTGTACGATAATTTAGACGAGTATTTTATATTTATGTTAAACGACGTGCTTAGATATGATTTGGTTTAGATAATTATAATTATGATTTTATTACGACAATGCTACGGCCTATTAAAACACATTTCATGTTATTAAATTTTTTTTTAACATGAATTTTCGTTTATATAATACGAATGAGGTTCATTTATTACGAATGAGTCTTCCTATTTGTCTATTAATAAGTAGAATAAAAAAGATAAAAAAATTAGAGATAGACATTCATATGTTAATAGATATTCGTCCATAAATAATCGTTTTTAAAAATTAAAAAATATTTAGGGACGATCGTTCATTCATTATAGACGATCGTCTCTTAATTTTGGACATGCACCCACAAATAAAGGACGCTCATCCATAATGTAAATATAAAAATTTTAAAAAAACTTGGGATGTCCGTCCCCATCCATAAATTATGGACGGGTGTCCCTAATGTGTGGACGGACGTCCATAAGGAATGGATGCCTGTCCATAATGTGGTTTTAAAAAATTTAATAAAATCTTTGGACGCCCGTCCATAAGTTGTGGACCGGCGTCCCTTACCTATGGATGACCGTCCGTAAGTAATAGACGTCTGTCCATTATGTAAGGACGGCCATCCGTAAGTAATGGACGCCCGTCCATAAGGAATGGACAACCATCCTTTAGCTTTGGACGGGCGTCCGTACTGTAATTAAAAAACGTAATAGATTAAAAAAAAATTAGGGAAAGTTTTTATAAGATGGACGACCGTCCATAGAAGATGGACTGGCGTCCATCCTAATGGACGGCCGTCCATATAATTTGGACGGGAGTCCATTGTTTTTTTTTTTCAAAACAAAACAACTTTTTATGGACGGTCGTCCATTCCACCATGAACGACCGTCTAGGATGTATGGACGGCCATCCAAAACCGTTGGACGGCCGTCTATTTATATTAGTATTCAATCGTCCAACGTGACAGCCTCCACGTGTTTCAATGCAATTGTTCGATGGATATAGCATTTTTGATGTGTTGAATGATGTGAGTCACGGGATACGTAAACCGGTACAAGATTTCTGTGTAAAAATTCCCGTGTCAGTAGCATTGTTGGGTTATGAGTATGAATTTAAGAAATCATTCTTGATGTGAAAGGATTTAAATCAATTATTGATCTTATGAAAGTGGGTATCCAATAGACAATAACAATAATTAGAATCAATTATTGATTTTAAATGATAAATTGATTAATTCTAATAAAATCATAATTATATTGGTAAGATTTGATTTAATTATAAAAATATATTATTTTATAAAATTCTAAACAAGGCTATATCAAGCGAGTATTATTTAAGTATTTTAATATTAAGTATTTTAATATTAGATCTGGTGTATCTCATTAGTTATTAAACAAATAAATACAAAATGCCTTTCGAAAGGCCAAGCCAAAACCTTTCTGCAACGTAGCAAATCCCATTACGCCAATACCTGTTAATATTAATTAAACAAAAATGTTATATCCACCAAACAATTGCATTGAACAATTGCACTGAAACACGTAAAGGTCACCATGTTGGACGATTAAATACTGACATAAATAAACAGTCATCTAACAATTTTGGACAGTCGTCTATACATCCTGGACAGTCGTTCATAGTGGAATGGACGACCGTCCATAAAAAGTTGTTTTGTTTGAAAAAAAAAAACAATGGACTCCCGTCCAAATTCTATAGATGAGCGTCCATAAAGATGGACGCCAGTCCATCTTCTGTGGACGGTTGTCCATCTTATAATAACTTCCCCCAAAATTTTTTAACCTAACACATTTTTTAATTGCAGTACGGACGCCCGTCCAAAACTAAAGGACGGGCATCCATTACTTACAAACGGTTGTCCTTACATAATGGACTGGCATCCATTACTTATGGACAACCGTCCATACATAATGGACAGGCGTCCATTCCTTACGAACGCCCGTCCACAGATAAGGGACGCCCGTCCACAATTTATGGATAGGCGTCCAAGGATTTTATTAAATTTTTTAAAACCACATTATGGACGGGCATCCCAAGTTTTTTTAAAATTTTTATATTTACATTATGGACAGGCATCCCTTATTTGCGAGCGCCCGTCCAAAATTAAGGGACGGCCGTCCATAACTGATGAACGGCCGTCCCTAAATGTTTTTTAATTTTTAAAAATGATTGTTTATGGACGGGCGTCCATTAACATATGAACGTCTGTCCAATATTTATGGACGGTCGTCCATAACCTATGAACGGTCGTCCCTAATTTTTTTTTTTTATTTCATTTATTGATGGACGGGCGTCCTTTAAATGGGGGCGCCCGTCCGTAGTAAATGGATCCCCCGTCCATATAATATGGACGGGAGTCCATGTAAGTGAACGGCCATTCATATTTAATGAAAGGCCATTCACTAGAAAAAAATTTAATAACGTGAAATGTGTTGAATGATGTGAGTCACGGGACACGTAGGCCGATACAAGATTTCGATGTAAAAACCCCGGAATCTGTAGCATTGTTAATTAAATTCTTTTCTAGTGAACGGTCGTTCATCAAATATGGACGGTCGTTCACTTACATGGACTCTCGTCCATCAGTAAATGGAATAAAAATATAAAAAAAAAAAAAAATTAGGGACAGTCGTTCATAGGTTATGAATGGGCATTCATATGTTAATGGACGCCCGTCCATAAACAATCGTTTTTAAAAATTGAAAAACATTTAGGGACGGCCGTTCATCAATTATGGACGGTCGTCCCTTAATTTTGGACAGGCGCCCGCTAATAAGGGATGCCCATCTACAATGTAAATATAAAAATTTAAAAAAAACTTGGGACGCCCGTTCATAAATTGTGGACGGGCATCTGTAAGGAATGGACACCCGTCTATAATGTGGTTTTAAAAAATTTAATAAAATCTTTGGACGCCCGTCCATAAATTGTGGACGGGCGTCTGTCCATTATGTATGGACGGCCATCCATAAGTAATGGACGCTCGTCCATTATATAAGGACAGCCGTCTGTAAGTAATGGACGCCCGTCCATAAGGAATGGACGGTCGTCCTTTAGTTTTGGCCTAGCGTCCGTACTGTAATTGAAAAACGTATTAGGTTAAAAAAAATTGGGGGAAGTTTTTATAAGATGGACGCCAGTCCATCTTCTATGGACGGCCGTCCATATTAACTAGACACCCGTCCATAGAATTTGGACGGGAGTCCATTGTTTTTTTTTTTTTTTCAAAACAAAACAACTTTTTTATGGACGGTTGTCCATTCCACTATGAACGACCGTCCAGGATGTATGGACGGTCGTCCGAAACCGTTGGACCGCCGTCCATTTATTTCAGTATTCAATCGTCCAACGTGGCAGCCTCCATGTGTTTCGGTGCAATTGTTCGGTGGATATAGCATGTTTTACTCATAATCAGGGTCGACTCAAGCGATAGGTAGGTGAGGCACTTGCCTAAGGTCCCCCAAAAATAGGGTTAAAAGGGTCAATTTTTTTTAATATATTACAAAAATGAAAATAGTGTATAATTTATTACCAAGGGGTCTAAGAAAAAAGCCAAAGGACTCAAATTTATTAAAAACTTTTTACATATATCCTCACCCAAAGTTTGACGAAATAACAAGTTTATACCTCTAGTTTCATATATTCCAATTTACACCCATAAATTAAACACATTGAATTTCTTTTAACAATGAAACGCTAAAATGGTCATTTACATATCTCAAATTACTCGCCTCCAATTCAATCGCAAAATTCGACATTCACATAAATCATCTTCATCCCTCTTTCGCCGTTGGCTGTTTGGAGTTGATTCCGATAGATTTTCTCACCAAAATCATCACTTTATCATTTCCCAAGTGTTTTCCCAGCCTTGATAGCCCTCGATTTGACCAATTTTTTACGAATCTCACAACCCAACTCCACCACGCGCGACAACCATTTCCAGCCTTTTCAGTGTGTACCCAGCGTTGTTGGCTTTCCCCGACACCACTATCTTCCTCCTCTTAGCCCTCTCACCAAAAACCCTATCATACCTCATATGTTTACTCCGCCAATTGCCGACCACCAATATCTTTTAGGTCGCGACTTCTCGAGTCTTTTCCGGTCAATCCTAACATTGGAAATCACCCATTTTACCAACCATCGCTTCTCCAACATCTGCTCTCCAAAACACCCCACCAACCTAACCTTATAGCTCGTTGGTTGTGGTCCACCTCTCGTAATGATTTTACATCTCAAAAGGTAAAAAAAATAACTTTGAAATAATTTTTTTAATATATGCTTATATTATTAGAAGACCTCCAAAGTAACTATTGTCTAAGGTCACAAATGTTATTGAGACAACCTATCCCATAACCCACTATTTGTTAACTTCCATTTGCCAAAATTAAAATAATAATTCAAGTAAGTTTGTATTTGTTAATGAAAATTTGTGGCATAAACTATTTTTGACTTGGCTTCAATTGCATAGTCATTCTAATACATGCTATAATTCAACACGACTTAATTTCAATTAGTTGAACGACCAATCTTGTTCCGCTAGCTTAAGACGCACGCATGTCAAGATAGGCATCATGAAAGTAATTGTAGAAGTAAGTTTGTAATCAAATATCTCTTATATGATTGTAAGATTATCCATCTAAATACTTAATAATTTAGAAAATATATATAATTATTTATTATACTTTTTGCCGTTATTTCTAAGTCTTTTTCAGATATGGTTTATATTTGATATGAGCAA